CAGTAACTTTCTTCCAATAGTGACACTTCTACTGCCGATATACCAACAAAAATATGTTGGTCGATCGTTTTTTATTAATAACTACTAGCAGTTGACATACTAATGACAGTTGCTGAGTAGACGTATTGCAGTTCCAAGGGATTTTATGCAAGATTTTCCCTTGTTCATTTTTTCGCGTTTTACTAAAAACATGCCAGTATCAATATATGAATAAATGCAAATATTTGCACCCGCACCATCAGAACGTGAAGAACGCGATGTCAACGACGTGAGGCAACAAAACCTAAAATCGCAGTGAAAGTCGAAGAAATTAGGTTACTCCACGAACCGATCCGGAGGCTGAAGACGCCTCCAAACTGGCTCGCGTCCTAAAGAGCACGCATCGAGTAAATCTCACGAAAGCGAGAAGTCCGGTTCTGGGAATCGCCCGCCGCAATTAGACGCACGTTCGACGGGTCTCGCCCGGCGCACGCAACCCGCTCGACCGGGTCGGAAAGCAAAAGTGTGAGACCGCGGTCCATCGCCGGCCTGCGCCTCGAGAGAGGTTCGTCAACCGGAACGGATCCTGCCGCCTTGGGGAACGTGCGAAATGCCGCCGCCGTTCAGCCGTTTGCGCACGCCGCGACCGTGACAAGATTCCGATAAGAGGTTTTCGCAGAGGGCGCACGTGAACAGGTGTCTGGATTTCTGATGCCACGAAGCAGATGTAAACCAACTGTAAAATTTGTGGATGGATTAAAAGATGCACTCTTAGGTTTTGCTTACACGTAGCACTGCGATGACACAAAAATTGGAAGATAAGCATCATCACATTATCAGATGAGATACAGCTGGCAACAAAAGTGGCAGGTACACTGACCTGTGGCTTCTTTAACGGCTAAGAACTTTGACTCAAAGATGAGATTCGAACACCTGATCCAATAGTGTTGGTTAATTCCTAACCAGGAGACAGAATTATTGCTTAGAACGATTCACATAGTAGCCCAAGGTCAGAACAAAATCAATTTCAAAAAATTAGAATGTGGGATGCATTTACGACACTCAGCGGTGGGTCATAGTTTCTGAAGCCCTACATTTTCATCTTCATCTTGAAAACAATCGGAATTATTACAATGGATATAATAAAATGATCAATACTCCACTGTCATCGTAATAATAACAGTAATAATAGTAATTTAATTTTTATATGCAAGCTAGATTCAGTTGAACTAAGTGTGATTAAGATGAGTTGCTTGTCGCTCTCAGTTGTGAACAGTATAAAAGAATTATTCACAGCAAGACGAATTACAATCTCCTTGCTCATGAGTTACCGCCGTCTACAGAGTCTTCAGACCAAACCATTTGAATCTTTGGGTAAACTCACGTGCTCAACAACCCACTTTTTGGCCGTGGTAAGTGGATTCACGCAGAATTCCGTTTGCTGTCCGCCGATAGCAGCGGCGTTCCTCGGGCTGATTCAGCGCGCGTGTTCGTCGCCGTGGAAACGGAGCGACCTTTCTCGGCCGCCTGCGTCGCTGCCTTGCGAAACGGAATTTGTGCCGCTCCGCTCCACTCCGCTCCGCTCCCCCTCCGTCGCTGTTAGCAACTTTACGGGGCCCCGCAATTTGCCGAGGGCGTCTAGGTCGCGTTTACAGCGTCGGTTACCGCCGCCGCCGCGCCCTCTGATTGTGCTACCGGGCGCCACGAGCAACTTGAGTTTTATTTTCTTTGGCAAACAGATAAAGCTAACGAGTCAATGTAGCACGCGTAGAATGCGCTGTATAATGGGTGGTGATTCAAATGTTTGCAATGCGCTGTAGGCGTTGAGTAGTTGGGTGATGTTAGCTCAGCGAAACAAATCACCAGTTTGAGATTTTAATTTCTAGGGCTTTTTCCAGCCGACAGGCGGTTACTCTTTACGTCCCGACGGGTCGCATATTCGACGATACACTAGACACCAACCCAATAGCGAGCTCTTCTGATCTGGGGTCAGTAGAACGCCGGCCCTCCGCGACAACACATAAATGAGAGTCAAGGGACAAACAACCGCCTCTAAGGAGGGACTCGGGCCCGCGACCCTTCGGACCGAAGCACTGAGTCGGCACCCGCTCTTGGCAACCTGGGCCAGCCAGAGCGGCTACCAGTTTGATACTTGTCAATTTAAAATGCTACGCTCTCGCATTTCGTCGGCAAGGTTCCGGTCTTGAGCCTCTACGATTTACGTAGCGTAATCGAAGCACATTGTCTAAAAGTATCTTGTATTAGACTAATGAGCTACTACCAAATAGACTGCATCATGTAAACGATTCTGATAATAGGTTTCTTTCCACTTTCTTGTTAAAACCCTTTTCCAACAAATGAATTGGGAGCGAAATATTTGGGAGAAGTCAAGTTATGTTGTTACAAAATCTGACTTTATTTGCAAACATTTCTTAATTTAGGAATGGATACAATCCCTGGCAATCTGCATATGCCTGTTCACTGCTCTCATTGATACTGTATTACATTCTATCGTCGTCCACCATACATCACAATGTGTATAAATACAATATCAACACTTATATTACTCGCACATTATACGATTTCAATCCAACTGGCGTTGTAACAACCATTATTGCTCAAATTCACCTTCGTGAAACTATCATATTTTTATTTCTTTTCAAAGTGCAAATCTGTTACGCGTTCTCGTCTGAAGTAACACTTTTGCCATACCACGACTCCACTTTTTCTTTGAAATCGCAGTTGCCTGTCATTCTATAACTACTCCAATTGCATAATTCACCCCTCATAACCATAATACCTACTCCACCCATTAGACCCCTTTTTATCTTCTCCCACATCTGTGTCTCCGCGTTCGTCTCTGACTCCTTCCAAGCCTCCACCAACAAGCAAAGTGGCGCTGCGGTGGCGTTATGCC